GTTAAGATAATATTCTACAACAGTGGCACTATACCAAACATTTTAACTTCAGGAACTTCAGTTACTATAAGCCTGCAAAGGACTGCGATTTTCATTTCAGAAAGGATTAAATTGAGGCCCCAGAAGACAATGTGATGGATCCAGTTTCCAGTGCTATTGCTTCCTTTAAATCAAACACACTTTAGTTCTGAGTTCACCTAGATATGTCATACAAGACTCTTACACTAGTGGGTGATCTAGTTTTTTGATGCCTCCATTTCCTCGGCTACAGAATGGGATTGTGATGGAGACTAAGGCAAAACAGGTGAAGCTCCATGCATGGCCCATGAGAAGCACTCTAGCGTTACCTAGTCACGCCCTCCTTCAAGTGTCACTTTCCTGGGCTGAGTCTCAATTTTTGTCATCTGTAAAGATGGAGGGATTTGACTTACAAAATGACCTCCCAGGCTCCTCTCCTCTGACCTTGGGATTCTTTATGGCTGAGATAGGGAGACCACTTGTAGATTTTCCTATGCAAATAGGTGAGGGGAAACTGTAACCCCAAAAGATGAAATGACCTGGCTGGAATCACACAGTCAGCTACTGGCCAAGCTGGGGTCGGATCTAGAGCTCTGAACTTGGGAGTTTCCTGCTACTGGGCTCCTTCGACAATGGCCTACCAATTCTTCAACACCGAAGAAGATAAGAAAGCATTTCGTTTGCACAATGGGAGAAATATACCAGCCTCCCTGGTGTTAAGGGAAGTGGTGTCGACCCACAAAATCCAGGAACAGGTTGAAGTTCATGTCCCACCCTATATCTATTTCCTCTCCCAGACCAGAAATTCTGCCATGGGCCAGGCCAGGCCAGCCCAGCCCACCAGCCCAGCATATTCACTGTTTGCTGGGATCCTCGCTATAAGCAGCATTGATTTACAGGTGCTTCAAAGCCATCTATCTACTCAAGCTGGGGCAGGGGTGGGGGCTGAGTCCTAAAGCAGCCAAGGCAAGGCGTGGCCAAGCCGCCTGGAAAATCAATGTAGAAGCAGATTCAGGCCTGGAACCCAGGTTTACAGGTCCGGATCCTTAGAGGAAGGACCCCTAAATACCAGGTCTCCTGGAACAGGTGTCTAGCCCGACAAGAGCACCTCAGGGTCCCCAGATGAAGTGCTAATATTGAGTGTTTGGCATCTTTGGAGAGGCCTTCCAGGCTGCAGCCCAAGCTAAAGCTGGCACAAGAGAGAATGCTGTGGGTCAAATCTGTCCCTGGAGAAGGCCTTGTGTGTTGCCCAGGAGAACTGAATTTTCCAGTGACCGAGGCACACTCGGCATGCCATGCAGACCGTTTGGGAGCAGAACAGTGAACCCATGCTCAGGCTAGCCCTAGGTTTAAAGCTTGGCTTGCCAAGTAGAGCTACTCCATGCACTTGGACAAGTGATTTCACCTCCTCGAGCCCTTTTTCCTCCCTGTATAAAGCGAAGGTAATGGCTTCCCTATTCACCTCTCAGGGCTCGTGTGAGGCTGAGTGCAGACAATAACTGCACCCATCTAGTGAGCCAGTCCTGGGAGCTGAGGTCTCTGTGAAACACTTCACGTGTGGTACTGTGCAATCCTAATCACGGCGCTGGGAAGTAAGCAGCAACATCCAAGGCAAGAAGGAAGAGGGCTCACCCTGGCCATGACCTTGCCTTCGAGGTCACACAAATGAGTAAATGTACCAGGATTTAAACCCATGATCTTTTGTTTTGTTTTCTTTTGTTTTGGTTTGTTGTTGTTTGAAACAAGGTTTCCCCTCTGTAACAGCTCTGGCTGTCCTGGAACTCTTCTGTAGACCAGGCTGGCCTCCAACTCACAGAGATCTTGCCTGCCTCTGCCTCCTGAGTGATGAGATTAAAGGTGTGCGCCACCACTGCCTGGCTTGACCCATGGTCTTAAGGTCAGACTTCTTGGTCTACTGAAAGCACTTTGGTTCAGTGGTCATATCCCAGCCAGTTGATGGCATTGCCTCAGCTGTACAATTGGCTGCAGAAAGTCAGTCTTCCCTCCTTGCCCCAGGCAGTGTCTGAATGGCAAGGCAAAGAACTGGCTGATGCTTCCTGAGAGAGGAATTAGCCAAACTGTGGCCTGTCACCTGTTTTTATAAATAAAGCTTGGTTGGAACAGAGCCACGGCAATTGATTTATGTGTTATGGCTGCTTCTGGAGGACAAGACAGACGTAACTGATAGGTGGGACAGATCTGAAAACACTGTACAGAAAAAGTATCTGACCCCCAAGGTGAGACAGTCAAGGAAGTGCCTCGTGTACCTCTGACCTTTCGGCTGTAGTCCAAAGCCACAGCATGGGAGTTCCTTGCCAGGCTACCTCTCCAAACACTGCCACTAGGAAGGGAAAAGTAGGTTTTCAAAGGAGACCTCGTGAGGCCTTCCTTTTGGGTGTTCCAGAGAAATGCTGGCAGAGTGAACAGCCTCTGCTGGCCAGGACAGGAAAGTATTGAGTAAGTCTTGTCCACCATTTTCTTTGGCGGTTAGCTGGCACTGGCTCAATCTGGGCAGAGAGAAACCTTGGATTGAGAAACGCAGCTGAATAGCCTTTAGATCTTAGAAGCAGAATTATATAAGCACCCTCAAATGGCCGCTTAGGTCAGACCCCATGGGCACTTTGGTTGTGGAAGAGAAGTCCAGCCCCACTTAGGGGTCCCAAGTCAATCAGAGAGGATGAAGAGAAAGGCTTCAGAGCAGCCATGGCTCATTTGACACCAACACCTGGGTCTGAAAAGCCATGCATGTCCCAAATCTGCTTCCCCAATCTCTGTCTTTTCAGAAGTGCCCAGTTTCTAGATGGATTTGAAAGCAGCATTGTTTTTTGAGTTCTTTGCATGAACCCCCTCAACTCCTCAGTCTGGAGCCTCTTGTCCAGAAATGATCAGGTGCATTGCTATTGATTCTCGTAGTAGAGGTGTCTAACCTCGACTTGTAAGTTATGAGAGTATGCATGCATTTATTTGGTGTGCAACTGACATCCACAACTGTCACACTCAAGAACTTCACGAACTGGCCTCTCCACATATGCACTGTGGAAAGCAAGCCCACACACATGCACACACATACGCAAATAAATAAATGGGGAAAAGTATAATTATGCCTTTTTGTTGGACCACATTCATAGTGATCCTGGGCCATGTGTGGTCTCAAGCTCCGGACCGGATACTCCTGAAAAGCTCAGCATTTTGACAGTCAACACTGCTCTGATACTATTGCATTTGTTTATTCAGGTCAAGATATCTCCAAAGGACCTACTCTATATGGTCCTGCTCTAGTTATGTCTCAAGTCAAGTGATCTTGACAGGGGGACATTAGTTTTCCTTCCCCTGTCCCCTGTCCCAAGGAAGTCAAGCTCATCCCCACTCACTGGTACCCAGTTCACTACACTCGCCCTGTACAACCTGGCGGCTGCTGTTGCTTTCTTATCCCCTATCTCCCCTGTTCACCATCCTCTTCCTAGATGCTGTTGGGTCTTCACGGGCCAGTTTCAATCACTCAGCCTCTCTTCACTCTCCCTGATACCACCAGGCTATGCTGTCTCCTACTCCAAAGTTCAATTTCACTTATTGGAACAAAAACCCGTACTTTGTACTTCATTTTTCTCGTGATTGGGAGACCTACTCTACAGAGTTTGTGTTCTGGAATTCACGATGTAGATTCTATAGTCACAAGTTAGGAAACTTTGGGCCAAGCGCTTCCCCTCTCTTAGTGTGTTTTCTCCTCTGGAAGAAAGGAATGACAGTCTTTTAGTCCATGATGTCATAACGACAAAATGAGTGATTATCTTTTAAAGGGCTCTGTTAACCTGCTAAAAGCCTGAATACTTGGGGGGCAGAATAGTTATGGTCCAGCACCACTCCTTTGCCCTCGATTCCATGGAAAATGTGAGCTGGGGGTGGGGGGAGTGTTAGGGAGATAACAAACCAATCTGTGTAAAGCAAGCTCTGCCTAAATGCGCTAAGTTCCTCTGACAACCAGTGCACTTAAACAGCAAGCCAGCAATTTCAAAACTACACATTTTCCTAAGAGTCAGTCCCAACAAAACGCCGTATTTTTAAAGCACTATACACAATGTGCAGCCTGCTGTTAATGATGAGATACTTAAGCATGCTTGTAGGTGACTTTTTCTGTGTTATTGCCTATTGAGCAGTTTTATGACTCTTTAGCAAGTTTGTCTGAAGGCATTTTCTTTAAAATTAAATCTTTTTGGCATTAAGTACTTGTCAAGTCTACAGAATTTCTCACAAGATTTATCAAACGTATCTATTCTGACAATGTCTCTGTCCTCATTGTGTTTTTCTCTGCATTGTGTATGCTTGTGTGCACCTAATGGGTTTATTAACCAAATTAGCATGTACCCAGTGTTCCTGTCTGTTCTTCGTAATATTGACATTTTGACAACAAGCATGAAAAAGCAAGACAGATGGGGCAGAATTGTATTGAACTCCTTGCATTTTATTTTTCAGGCTATCTCATTCATCAAGCAACTCCACTTTGTGAAACATAAAATGATACATACAAAGTCATTACCAGATGTATTTATGGCTGAAAACAACATTTTTCAAGAAAGGCAAACTGGCTAAAAAGTCCTGAAAGTATTCAAAAGCAGTTAAAACAGTAGACACCCACCAGGGATACAAAATAACGTTTAATACAAATCCCACCTTTGATCAGTATGTCCTTAAATGAATTGCTTCTGAAAAAAAACAAAAAACAAAAAAACAAAAAAACCTTTCAATGACACTGCCAGAAAAATGAGGACATTCGAACAGATGCCAAAGGACTTAAAAGGGGCTCAAATTTATGTGAACCAGCCCTTAGACATAGAGAGTCCTTTGGGGAGCTTGTGGCAAATTGGTTTGAGGCCAGTTGACCTAGAACCAGTTTGGGATGCGAGGTGCAATCTGTGGGCACTGGGACAAGCATGGCCCTTGGGGGAAAGGAATGCCCCAATATGACCTCAAAGAGTCAGGGCAAATTGTCAGTTTGTAACTCTTTATTATAAAGACATATTTACACAGAACAATCTTTACAAACATAGCGAACACGTTCAGGGGACAGGTTTGTTTGTTTTTTGTTTGTTTTGTTTTTAACTCAAAAGGCCTTAATATCTTTATTTAAATTAGTATAAGAATCATACACACTTTAAATAAGACAGCCCACCAGGCCCATTTATCTCTCTCTTCCTTTGCTATCTGTCCTCTTTCTCAGCCGTAGTCCTCCTCTCTTCCCTGTGGGGCTGGCCATGGCAGGCTGATAAGGCAGGAGATGCAGGAACCACAAGAGAAAGAAGGCCCAGTCCCTGGTAGGGGCACCAGCAGTAGAAGAGGCACCAGCCAGGCCCCACTTCAAGCCCAAGGGGTGAGGACCCTATGCCTGGTCCAGATCCCCCCCCCGGGGGGGGGGGCTCTGAAGTGGTGGCGGTAGCAGCAGCAGCAGCAGCATTAGCAGCAGCAGATGGGCAGGAAAGGCTTTGAGGAGGGGTGGATAGGCAATCCTGGAGTTACTATGGGGCTTGGGGGTCCTGACTCCCCCTGCCCTACACATATACAAGTGAATATTAAGCTTCTGTTTTCTCTTTTCTCCCTCCTGGGAGGCCTCTGAGAAGAACAACTGCTCAGGCAAAAGATAAGGGTCTCCCTTCACGGAGGGGCTGCAAAAGGCTCCTAGAAAGAGACTGTGCCTCCTGGTGGAGTGATGAACCCCACCTACGTATCGCTCCCATCTCTCCTCCTTTCTTCCCCTTTCTCCATCCTCTGACACTCCCCCAAAAGCCACAAGAACAAGGGTCCAGTCAACATAGGGGCTCATGACAACCAGTGTCAGGGGTTAAATGGTAGTTTCAGTGCCTGAGAACCCCAATTAAAGTAGCTTGAGCCTGAGCATGCAGCTGAGACCTGGTCTGTGTGGGGGTACATCTCACCATTTATGGACTCTTCTAGGCCAGGTTGGGAGGAGGACGTGCCATGCTCACACAGGGCAGTTCACAGCTGGCTTGCCTCTCCTTCCTCATCCTTCCCAGGTACCCTCTGCACTAAACCCAGAAAAAGGCACTTCATTTGTTTTGAAAGGACATCATCAAGAGGAAAAAGGACATCATAAAGTGGGAGTTGGGAGACCTGGTCCCCATTGAGACTCTGCAGTGGCTCTGAGCAGGTTACTTCCCTCTCCGAGGCCTCTGTTTGTGCAAGCTTTTGCATAAGGAAACAAGCGATCTTCAAGGTCCTTTGGGCTCTGACTTTCTGTAATTTTTATTTTTTATTTTTTATTTTTTGGCAAAAACAAGTATCGTGCTTAGTTAGCTTTTACTCCTGGGAGAGTATAGAACCATGTCAGGCTCAGCACTCTCCCCTTCTGACCCGGACACTGAACTGGCTGCAGGAGAGTAGAGAGGACAAGGATGTTAGGAGACACAGTGACAAAATACTTCCTGGGCCCCTCTCCTTTGCCTCTTCCTTCACAGGGCCAGTGAGAGCTAAGGAAGAAGCCATGGCAGCAATTCCTCCTCATCCCTTCACCATGGCCACATTTCAGTGTCCCCAGTGCACCTCCTCTGGATCCCAACATCCAATCCCACTCATCCAAAGTCTCTCATTGCACATATCTGTACTCCCTTCTAAGTGAGAAGTCCAATTGATAAGCAAGTATGAATGTGCAGGAATCCGTTGAAGAAGGGAGTGTTTCTGTCCAGTTCCCAGGATACTGAGAAGAGGGAAGGGCCAATAGATAGGGACTAGAATGGGGAACAGGCTGAGAAGAAGCTGGGTCTCCAATGGCAGTCCAAGGAGTGGCCAGGAAGATGGGCCAAACGGATCCTTGTGAGAGAAATGGAATCTTCCAACTGAGGGGCAGGACCATGCCATTAGAGGAACTTGGTGGGTGAGAGGAGCCAGGATCATCAGCAGCCATAACAGGTGCAAGATGAGAGTCAGATGGATGTGAGGGTTAGAATCTGTGGAGTAGAGAGAACGGCACCCGTCTGACACTTGGAGAGCTCTTCAATCCTAAAGAGACAAAATGAGCAGAGAGGAGTCACAGACACATAGTAGGTCAGGGGAATCCTCCAGAAAAAGAGAGGAAACAGAAGTCATGGCCACTCCACACCTACTCCCAGGGCACCAAGTTGATCCCCTTGTTTCTGACTTCAGGGGAAGGGGAAGCAGGCCAGGCCTCAGGGGCCCTGCTCTCTGGCCACCTTTTGCTCTTCTCTGCTTCTCGTGGCTCTGGACACTACCACCCAACCTCTTCTGTCCCCTGCCTGACAGTCCCAAGGCTCTCTGCTGCCTTCCCATTCTCTCATAGACCTAGTAAGAGTACACACTGACTATCTGTAGGCATGCCGTCAGCACACTGTGTCTGCAGCCATGGCCTACTAAGACTTCCAGAACTCTCCAGTGGCACCAGCCTGTCCAATCCCAGGCAGAAGGGCAGAGGAAAATAAAACACTCCACTCTTGGGAGGGAGTTAAGAGATTGACCCCAAGCACTAAGCTCCTCTCTGGGCCACGGTCTCCTATTAAATAGAAGAGTGACACAAGTACTTTCCTAGCTCCCAGGAAGCTCTAAGACCCTACTGTGTCTGCCCTTCGATAGTAGACTGTCCATACCCTTTAGTGCTACCAACTGACAAGGGGCTCTAATACCTGATTCAGAAAGGCATGGGACCCTTATGGGAGAGACGGGGGCGCTGTCTGCGGAACTTCCTCCTGCCTCCCTGCCAGGGCCCTGGTCCAGTCCTCGAAGCTCTGGGCTGCACCAGGTAGCGCATGTTGCCTTCTTCTAGCCCCTTCCCATCCGAAGGCAGCATCAGTGGCACTGTGGAGAGGAGAGAATCTGTTAGCCAGGAAGACGGATGGTGGAGACAGCAGAGGAGGCCACAGTCCAAGGGACAGTGCAACTTCTCCACAAGATGGCGCCCCTCATAATTTTCTATTCTACCCGGATGAAAAGATGTGCCATTCATACATACACTGTTCTGGGGCAAGCAGAGCCACTCGTTTTGCCATTGGGGTAACTGATTTTATATTCTTTGGACAGTTATATCATGTATCTGACAGGCACAAACAAGCTCTTCCTTTGGAAATGTCATGATTAGGGGTGCACTCTGCAGCAACAAGCTTATACTTGGCTGGGGAGCACAATGATCCCTATGGCACCCCTACAGCTGGTGTACTTCAAACATTTCAGACATGCAGCATCACAGTTATTGAATTATGCTTCGCTTGTTCTTCGTCTTTTTATTTTTTAATTTTTGTTATCTGCAATCATTTAAAGCAAATACCAAATGCATGTCACCCTATGCTTACATCCTTGGATAGGCAGGGTGACCCACTTCTGGTCCTAGAGATCTTATCTGTCCTCCTCGGTCACCTCGTCAGTAGTTAGGTATCTTTGAGGCTTTTCCTTGCTCCCAAAGCTTCCTTGTGGATGTGGCTAGGACATAACTGACTGAGCCTGCTTTGCACTTGGTTCTTTCTATTCAGCCTGTGAGCAGATTTCGAGGCTAATAGAGATGGCACAAGTGAGTGAATGAGTGCAGGAACTGTCACCTGGAGCAGCGAGCCTGTGCACCAGGAGTGGAGTGGCAGCACCCCATCAACCTATCATTCTAGATCACACCTCCTATCCAAAATCTGATACAAATTCTTTCTACCTGGCTTCTGTTATGCCCTCCCAGGCTCTTGTCTCCATCTGCCCACATCTGGCTTAGTGCAGAAGCCATCTGATGCCACTGAGCCCTAATGGAATCCAAGTTGTGCAGGATGTTCTTGGGAAAGATGAGGGAGAATGCACATTTGCCAGCTCTCACAGAGCCAGAAGTCCCGCCAGGAAAGCTGAGCTAGTACCCAGAGACACCCTTGGACCCGAGAAACAGACAGTGTGCAGGGATGAGATGGTCGGGGGACGAGGCAGGGGAGTAGGATGTCTATGTGATGCCCAGTATGGGAGTGGCCTTCCGAAATGGAGCAGTGCCTGAGGCCAATGATAATGAATAGCAGCCTCTGTTCCCTGCACACCATCAGATTTGCCTTCAGCTATATATGCCTGTTCCCTGAGTCTCACTGCCATCCATCAAGGGATTCCCACCGCTGGCTCACAGTTTCCATATACTATCCAGTTGGCTTCTTGTCCTTCCAACAACCCTCCCTGCCTCCAACACCCCCATACTCTAGTTCTTTCCTTGGCCCCTTGGTTCTTTCTCAGCTTGCACACAATTTCCAGACATTTAGCATCCTCTTGGGCCAAAAGTGGGCGAGGCTTGTCCTTGTGGCCCTCTGTGCAGATTTTAGGGCTGCTGTTCTTCCTCTCCAGTCAGAGCCAGACAAGCACACTACATGCCCCCACACTCAACCCCACATACACACCCTCTCTATCCCTAAAACACCCCCCCATTCTTGTCCAAGAAAATACACCAGATCCATTAGGACCCAGGGGTTTACAAGGGCTGACTTGCCACACTTCTGTGCTCAGGGTTAAAGTGTGTCAATGTGTTCACTGAGGCTCTAAACCTCTAATTCATGAGAGCTGAGAATTAAAAATGCTATTAGTGCTTTGGAGATGGAGGAATGAGGAGGAGGAGGGTCAGGGACTGTTTGACTAATCTAGAACTGCCCTCCTGCTACCATCTGTGAAAGGGCATGGGGCACCATTGTTAGGTCCCCCCAAGTTGATCTAGCCAATGCCCTGACTTTCAGGATCTCATCAAAGTTTACCCTGAACCTTGAGAGTGATTCTTAGTGAAGCTGATGAGAAGTCAGAATCAGAGACACGTTTGAAGTAGGGGATAGTAAGAACTGTGCCAAGCATGTATGGGGACATGCACAGGGGAAGGACTCTACCAGCCTTAAAAAAAGTGAGACCTTGGTTCTCATGCCCATGCCTTCAATGACTGGATTTGGAATAATGGTCCAAGCCATAATAGGCTAGAGGAACAGCAAGCATGGGGTAAATAGGTGTGGATAATGCCAGAAGGGAGAAAGTAACACACACACACACACACACACACACACACACACACACACCATGTCTTTGTGGCATGAGAGTCTCAGGGTCTATGGCTGTCAGAGAGGATGGGGGGGAACCCTATAGGAAGAGAAGTCAAGAGCCAGAATGAGCAGCATGCTGACGGTGGCTCGGACTCAGGCCAGGAAGATGTCTAGACTCTAGACCTGCAGAGAAGATCCACCCTGAGCCTACTGAGGCTCAGCCAGGCCTGGGAAAGTGGCCGCCCCAGAAGCCGCTTGGCCTCTTCCATCCTATTGGGTTGGAGCTCATTGTCCTCCCCATCGCAGGAAGTCTGTGGGCTCCTCCTGCACTCTGATCCCATCTCCCACTTGTTTCCTACGTTTGCTGCTGAGTCTAGTCAGATAAGCCGATACCTGAAACCCTGGCTTTATCCTGTCTGAAAGAACAAATTAGAGGCCGTTGATTCTCATCACAGCTGAGGTCCTGGCTGTACAAAAGGCATTCCCCTTCGGAGATGGGGAATACCCCAATACATTTCAATATGCCCTTCCAACTCATTTTCTGCTTAAAAGGAAGCAGGAGCTATTTCCCAGAGAATCTCAAGCCAAGAGGATTGGAGCCCTTGTCCGTGAGAGTGAGGCAATAGCATTTTCAAGCTGGGAACGGCAGCCAGGGGAAGAACAGGATTGGACTTTCACACAACCTGAACTCCAACCCTGCTGAGACAGGAAAAGGAGTCTGTGAAACTTTTCAGGAACATGCCAACCTCAACAGGAATGGTGCACTCATCTTGTTCAGGGTTGGGTCTGTATAGTGATTGCTTTAAAAAGTCCACCCCTAGGCTCCCGTGGAGATTCCACTGGCCTGTGTCTCTGGGATATGAGACACTCTTCTTAGCCTTCACATTCACCTTCTCTGAGGCTCTGTGCTGTCTTCTACTGCCAGCCTTGCTTCTCTGCATCAGGCTCTGGAAAGCCTGCCCTCCACTTGATTAGTCTTAGGACTTTCCTGTTGAGGGCCTGGCTCAGATTACAAGGATACCTGGAGTTTAGAACTCAGGATGGAGTGGAGATGTCCTCCACAGTGGGAGGGGGACAGTAAGCTGTCCTTACGCTGCACACTGGAGTATAAGCTGCCAAGGGGGGGAGGAGACCGAGAGAAAATGGTGCTCGGAGAACAAGGGACATTTGGCCAGGACTCAGAAACTCCTGGACTCAGAAGAGCAAAGTGTATCCCAGGTCAGGAGGCAGTGGAGAGTCTGTGGAGTTGGAGGAGGGGCAAAGAGGGAAGGTGAACATTCCAAGTCAGAACAGAGAGTGGAAGAGAAGAGGACACACAGTTTCTGAACTTCGGGGACTGTCTCTGGATACCTCATGCAAGTCTGTGCTAAGGACGAGACTATTCTAGGGCTCTGCTTTCTAGACCAGGACACAGGAGGAGTGTGCATACCTGAACCTCTGGCTGCTGGCTACCTCCAAGAAGGTGCCCTCCTTGGCTCCGGGAGTGGTCAAGAGGTAGGAAAATAGTGAGACCTTTAGAGGTAGCCAATGCTTATCTTAAATAAAATGTAAGGGTGATGCTTATACTCACATTAGGGTGTGCCAAAGAGTTAATGTAAAATGAGAAGACAGAACAAGAAGTTTCAAGGTCTAGACCAGAAACCCAAAGTGTTCTGGAAGCCTGCTTTGCTTCCTTGAAATCAGCTCACCCCTTTACTAGTAATATCCCAACAGCTGGACCCTGAAGGGTTCACTGAGTATCTACTAGCCAAAGTCTCCCTTATACCTTCCCCTCACCCTCTGGGGAAGTATGCAGCTCCTCTGGGGTACCCTTTCTGTACCCAATCATGTTCTCTAAAGGCACTCCTCTAACTATTTGCCTGAAGTCAAACTATGAAGATGTGTCTTGCCAACCATATTGGCTGTGTAAGTTCCAGGACAGAGGAGCAGGCTGCTGTGGTGTCTTGATTCATAGCTTTTGCTCCCTTCCTGCCACTGCCTGGCTGGCAGGAGTTTCTGGGGAAAAGTCTGCACCCTTCATCCCAAGGAGGTGGCTGTCTCGGTGCTAGGGTCTTGCAGGAGACCACTGGACAGCTACCTGGAGGCAAGAGGCACAAACCAGACCAATGTACTTTCCAGAGAAGCCTGGCAGTGTACCGAGTGCAGGGCAATGACAAAGAACAAGAGCATAGAAAGGAGGTAGCTACAAAGAGAGGCAAGCGGAATTGGCCAGAACCCCAGAGGCTCCCGGGCAGCACGCCATCCTCCTGTTCTGGGGGGGGGGAGGTCAAACTAAGTAAGTTCCTGGGCTCTTCCTCTAGGAAACCCACTGTCCTGCTCGTTCTCTCTGTCTGTCTGTCTGTCTCTCTCTCTCTCTCTCTCTCTCTCTCTCTCTCTCTCTCTCTCCACTCTCACTTCCCTGTGACTCTGTGACTCCAGCCCTGGCACTGGCAATTGTTCACCTGGTCTTGACCTTCCCTTTCTGCTGTGCCAGGCAGGCTGCAGTGACAGCCAGATCACAGGACTGGGGCAGCTGAAGGTGCGAGCTGGCAGCTCCAGGAGGCTCTGCCGCACAGAGGATGGGCAGCCTGGGCAGGGGCTCCTGGGACACTGAAGACCTGGACTGAAGTAGGCAAAGGAGTTCCAGTGCCAAGAATTTCCAGGTGGGAGATCGGTACAGGTGGAAGGGAAGGGACCCCCCTTCCCTGAATTGCACGAAGGGCCTGTTTGCTGGTTTGGTACCTGAAGACAGGGGGACCAAAGTTATACTGGTGCAAGAGTGGAGGATAAAGCCAGAATACAGAAGAAGCAAGTCTGTGGGCCAGGTGTCCCACAACCTTGTAGGGAACG